CAATGACCAATTCAAAAGAATTTAACCTTTTCATGCATGAATTTCCATCTTTGATGGTGAATCATTTGTTCAAATGAGGATTGCAGCAAGTATTTCTGGCCCTTTAATAGCCAGGCATTGAAAACACTGCGTCTTCCTTTGTGTTATTAAAACTTCTTGAGTTTCAATTCACTTGTATAAAACTATGGAGAAGGAAGTAGCTTCCCATTCCAGTATTCTTGCCTGGGAAATCCCAGGGACAGAGGAGCATGATGGGCTACAGTCCATAGGATCGGACCCAACTTAGTGACTGAATAACAAAAATGGAAAGACTTGTTTCAGTGCTCATTTCAGCAGCAGAGATACTTGAATTGAAATGATACAGAGATTAGCATGGCCCCTCTGCAAGGATGACACACAGATAGTAAAGCATTCTGTGTTTTTGATGTTAACTAAACTTTATTGTGGTAATCATCTTACAGTATATACATGTATTCTTATGATGTGTACCTTCAGTTCAGTTCATTTCAGTCACTCAGTTGTGTCCGACTCTTTGCAACCCCATGGACTGCAGCACGTTTGGCCTCCCTGTCCATCACTCCTGGAGCTTGCTCAAACTCATGTCCATTGAGTCGGTGATGCCATCCAACCAGCACATCCTCTGTCATCCCCTTCTCCTCCTGCCTTCAGTCTTTCCCAGCATCAGGGTCTTTTTCAAGGAGTCAGTTCTTCGCATCAGGTGGCCAAAGTACTGGAGTTTCAGCTTAGCATCAGTCCTTCTAGTGAATATTCAGGACTGATTTCCTTTAGGATTGCCTGGTTTGATCTCCATGCTGTCCAAGGGACTCACAAGAGTCTTCTCCAACACCACAGTTCAAAAGCATCAATTCTTTGGCACTCAACTTTCTTTATGGTCCATCTCTCACATCTATACCTGACCACTGGAAAAACCATAGCTTTGACTAGACGGACTTTTGTTGGCAAAGTAGTGTCTATGCTATCTGGGTTTGTCATAGCTTTTCTTCCAAGGAGCAAGCATCTTTTAATTTTGTGGCTGCAGTCACCATCTGCAGTGATTTTGGAGCCCCCCAAAATGAAGCATGTCACTGTTTCCACTCTTTTCCCATCTATTTGCCAAGAAGTGATGGGACCGGATGCCATGATCTTCATTTTTTTGAATGTTAAGTTTTAAGCCACTTTTTTACCTCTCCTCCTTCACTTTCATGATGTGTACCTTAAACTAGTAAAAAAGTTGTGTAGATTATGTCTCAAATGAAACTGGGAGAAAAACTGAATATATTTTGAAGCTATCCACACATTAACAACCATCAGGACTGACTTAATGTTTAGCATGCTGTTGATATAATTTTGTAAATAAGATAATACCTTACCAGGTTTTATTTTGTCTCTGATCATTTCCTGGGTAATTTTTACCATTCAGAAAGGAGACATTTCATAGATGACATACACACAGTATAAGGAAAAAATAACTCCCGAAGTGTGCATTTATATTTCCTTAATAGCCCAGCTTAAAGTGCTGTTTCTTACTAGACTGTATTTAAATGTGTACATTTATGTCTTGGGGAAAAAAAAAAACCTGAATTGAACTTTAAAACTCTGCACAATTGGTTATTAAATATTCAAGTGATACTGAAATCCCTGGTCAGAATAAAAGACTCCATCAGCGGATCTTGTAGACTTTCCTGGTAGTCCTCCAGATTGATCACTGCCTACAAATCCCATCCCTCCTCGTCTCCTTTTGTGCAGAAAAACTAGGCAGTCAGTGGCTCCCCCTGTCAACTCCACTTCACTACTTCACACGTTACAAGTTTCATTCCTCACCCCAAATGCACATGTACATACACACACCCTGACCCCTGGATGAGAACATTTTTTACTATCAGTCTTCTTCCTTATCTTGTTTCTGGGGATCTCAGGACGTTGGGGGAACTGTTTAACAACTTCTCCTTACAAAACGCTGGGGAGCTCCTTATAATACTGAGCCTAAGCATTATGGTCCCCTGATGAAATGTATTAAATAAAATATATGTTCAGATACTGCTAAAAATGCATATAATCTATCCCTAAAAGAAAAATCCCCCATAACTGTTACCATGCCTGATGTCTGTCTGTACTAGCATGGGAAGCTGTCTGTGACGTAGTATGATATGCAGATTGCAAGTCATAATCAATGGCGTGCACATTATTTTTACTTCTTTCTACACCCATTCAACAACAAGTTCTTTTAATGCATTGATTCTATAGCATACATTGTAAGTTTCGCATTCTGTCCCCTTGATCAGAATTTTTTTTCTGCCTAGGGAGCTCGTTTATTCTTTCAGAATGTTACTGAACCGTAATCTGGGAAGCTCTGCCTGTTTCCCCAGACATGACTAGTCCGTCCCCTAAGTGCTGGTGCCCTCTGCCCTTACCCCTACTGTCTCACTCATAACACTGTCTGGAAAGGATTTATTTATATAAACACCTGTTCTACTCCACCGTGAGCTCCCATTACCCAGCCCCAATCCAAGAAACTAACATGCCCTCTAATGAGTGGAAGAATGCTTGTTTTATTACTTTATGTTGCTCCAGGCCATGCATAGAGCATTTTGAGAGCCCTTGTATTTCTTGTGTTTGATAAAGTAACATCAAATGTATTTTGTGATTACAGTTCTTTAACTCATCCATGTGATTATTGAGATTTGCTTTAAAAAACAGCTTTATTAAGGGATAATTTATGCACTTTACAAATCATTCATTTTACATGTATAGTTGAGTGGTTCTTAGTGAATACAGTCCTACCGTCATCACAACACTCTAATTTTAGAACTGTTCTTTCACCCTAAAAAGCTCCCAGTTGAGGTACTTGACAATATTGCTGGAACTGCCCAGAAACTTCTGTGTGGTGAGTTGAACTGGATGACCTCAAAATGTGTTACCGTCTTTTGCTCTCAACCGTCAAGCCCAGCACGCTGAAGTCTGGCCTGCGTACTGAGTGGTGCTGTGTCCTGAAAGAAGAGCACATGCTGGCAACAAGGGACACGGTTTCCTTTCAGGGCCTGCTCTGTGTTGGCTGTCTGTGCTTGGTTCGTTATATATATCACCTTATATGAGATTGCAGTCCCTTGGACCGCACGGAGAGCCAACCAGTCCATCCTAAAGGAGATCAGTCCTGAATATTCACTGGAAGGACTGATGCTGAAGCTGAAACTCCAATACTTTGGCCACCTGATGCAAAGAACTGATTCCTTGGAAAAGACCCTGATGCTAGGAAAGATTGAAGGCAGGAGAAGTGTACGACAGAGGATGAAATGGTTGGATGGCATCACTGACTCGATGAACATGAGTTTGAGCAAGCTCTGGGAGTTGGTAATGGACAGAGAAGCCTGGCATGCTGCAGTCCATGGGGTCGCAAAGAGTTGGATACGACTGAGCGACTGAACTGAAGTATATGAGGTTACGGCATTATAGAAGGAGGAAGATTGGAGGTGCTTTAGGCCAAACTCTTTTCTTACAGTGTCTCCTTTTTTTTACCTGGAAGATTTGGTTACATCAGATACTTCTGTTGAAACGATCCCCCTAGGCTTTGAAGACACCACTTTGTCTGTTTAGAAGTTGGCAGTGTGTTCTTCTATTATAACACGGTGTCGGTTCAAATTCATGTCCTTCCTGGAAAAGTGTATGCGGCAGCTCAAAAGTTGACCTCTGAGTTGAGAGTTCTGCAGAGCAGTTTCTATGTTGGTGAAGCCTGGATGTATTTTCTTTTCTTTGAAGTGTTTCTAGGGAAAAAATGCTCTCTTTGTCAGAATGCTATTTTGATTAAGACATAATGTTATTCAAGATAGCTTGAGATTCCTGTGCCTGGCATGCATGCAAACTTCTCTGGAACAAAACAGCATTTGTTTCTTCACGGACTGATGGTATACAGGAGTCCAGAGTTCATGCTCCAACTTAACTGTGCTTAACTGTGATGTGGCCTTGACTAAACCAGTGGATGTCTTAACTTTTCTGAGTTAGTAATATCTTAAAACAGAGTTTAGAAGTATTAATAGTTTCTCTCATCATAGTATATATATTTCGGCAACAGTCATGAAGTCCTTTAAAAATGAGGGTGTACGTGGAATTCCTTGGTATTCCAATGGTTAGGACTTTGTGCTTCCACAGCAGAGGGCCAAGGTTCAAGTCCCGGTCAGGGAACTAAGATCCTGCATATTGCTTGGCTCGGCCAATAAAGAATAAAAATGCTGGTGCCCCTTTTTTCATTGTTGGTTACCTAAGATGACAGATAACATCAGCTTTCTTTAAGGATACATTTTACTCAAAATTAGCTTGAGCAAGAGGAGAAATACGTGTGAAGATAGACTTAATATTTGCCTACATGTCACTTAATGGCATTCTCCTCAAGGTTTTTTGATAGGAAAAAAATTATTTGATCTGTTAGGATTAGAAAGCTTAAGTAAGTTTGGTAGGCAGGATATTTCTCGTAACATATGTCATTTACTGAGAATGTATTTTGGGAGACATGGATTTCACCATAAATCCTTACTTATTTGAAGATCTCCATGCCAGTATTACATTTCGGGCAAGACTAATTTTAGCCAGGTTCACTGAAAGTGTGTTTCCAGTGTTATCTCCAGTAATTTCCACTGGTCCCTTTTTATGCACTCTTTCAAACGTTCAGTCAGGGCCGCTCTTGCCTTCTGCGACGGCCCGTGCTTCTATGGAGTGTTTCCCCCTAGGTCGCTCTTGCCTTCTGTGTGGCCCATACTCTGTGGAGTGTGTTTCTCTGTAAGTAAGTCCATCTCTTATCTATCAAAAAAAAAAAAAATTCACTCAGGTTTTTCCACAAAACCCAATTGAAATTTCTGGCCGACCCGATATATAAATCTGTAAAGTAAGCTGCTGTCTGTGGAAGTGGGGAGCAGCTCAGTGATCCCCCCTGTGTGTGTGGGCAAGTCCTCTCCACTCTTGGTGGCCTGCATCCTCAGTCACCGTGGATGTTTTGTTTTTCTCTTTCACAGATGACACGGCTGATCCTGCCTGGCATGGTAGAAAGGTGAGTCATAAGCTCACACACAAACACTCAAGCTCATGATTATTTATAGGGAGAATCCTTTCTTTGAAAATTTCATTAAAGTGACTAATGAACCTCTCCTCCATGTCTTGGTGACAGAGTGATGTGCCAGGCGAGTCACACGGTGGGGCATGAGTCATCCGGTGGTGCAGGCCTTTTCCCCTCGATTCCCTTTTTATTTCCCTCACCAGGGTGTTGGTGGTTCCTTTCCATCAGGATTAAAAAGCCTGCCTGAGTCACCATCACTAACTCAATTGCCTGCTCTTCTGAGGGGGTGGATAGAGTTCCTGGGATATTCCCAGGAATGCCTTCTTAAAGTGGTATGCTGTCAGAGCCCAGCTCAGTGGAGTTTCATGAAGTGAGACTCCACATCCTCTGGTTTTTCTGTTATGGGAGAAATGATGTATGAGCAACTTAGGCATGTTATAAAGTGATCTCAAGGGGTCAGCCTCCCCTACTTCCACCCTTGGAGGAAAAAGGCTATGTCCTCTAGCTTCAGCTGTATTTGTATTGGGTTCCACTAGGATTTGCTAGATGTCTTCCTTTCTCTTGAGAAATGTGTTGCTAAGTCCTTATGTTAGGAATAGCAGGAAGTATAAGATGGGAATTAAATTCTGTTCCTCCCTTGGAGAAGTCTGAGTGATGGCTAAGCTTTCAAAGAAAACCTGTTGCAGACGGATGGGCTTGCTTGGTCATTTGCTAAATTTAGGGTCTCACAGTCATCCTTGCTGTGCAAAATGGCTTTGAGTTTGGGAGAGATCCACAGGAATCACAGCTTTGCAAAGAGCCAGGGACCCTACTTCCATGAAGGAGTCTCTGTGACCAGCTTCAGGCAAGGATTTACAGCTTATGTTTATCGATTACATATTCTTTGCCAGGTGTCAGACTGAGAACCCAATAAGTGTTTGCTTATATAACTTTGATAGCCTCCCACCATTGTACAGATGAGGAAACTGAAGTTCGGATTTGGTAGCTACTTTTTAGTAAGGCTCTTTGTTTGTAATTGCATTTTATGTGTGATTTTTTGTGTCTTAATTGCTTTATTTTAGTAAAATTTCCCTTTAAAACCTTTAAACTACTACTGATGGTTGAGCATGCCCCTGATGGTCAGATATGAAAGTGATGGTGGTCAAACCAGACCAGAATCCGGAATGATTATAGAGAATTCGGGCATACAGTGTAGAACTCAAGACGGATGAAATTTGGGTCATCAGCTTAATTCTGGTTTGGATATCTACAAGTGACACAGTATAAATTCAGGGTGGTATTCTACCCATTAAAAAAGAAATAGTTACATTCCACAGAGGAATTTTTAACTATGTTGTTAAAAACCATATCCAAAGAGTTACTGGTTATGACGAATCAGACTTGAAGAATCATGGAATTTCAGTACTTGAATTGAAACCAATCCCCCCTCATTTGACATAAAAAGTGAGATCCAAAGGACTTGAGTGCCATGAGGCTACATAGTGAATTAATACATGATACAAAGTGCTGACACATCTCTGTAGACCTCGGAGCCACCATCACAGCTGTAGCTGAAGCCTTAGATAAAGAATGCAAAGGAAAGGATCCATCCATTTCACTGAGTATAAAGTTTATCATATGGAAGATGAATTGGATCCTTGTCTTTAAGAAATCAAATTGATTTTATACTGAGGTTGTGAAATGATCTGGTGGAAAGCTATCATGGCCTGAAGAACTAGTCAGAAATGTAAGGGGGTTTTATGAATTGGTGCTTTTGCGATAGGAGAAGGAACAGGTCTGTCTGTTTGAATTAAAGGAGTTACTTGTTGTATTAGTCAAGGCAGGCTAACTGCTATAACAGGCCACCCCAGAATCTCAATGACTTAAAATTCTAAAGGTTGATCCTCCCCTCACATCACAGTCCAGTGTGGATCAGTGGCCAGGCCTCTGCTCTCCACAGTCAATCCAGGGATCTCAGGGCTCCTTCCATCTGGAATTGGGGGGGGGGGCTACTCTTCCCTTGGGTTTCTGTGGTGGCTCAGACGGTAAAGAATCTGCCTGTAATGCGGGAGACCAAGGTTTGATCCCTGGCTTGGGAAGATCCCTGGAGGAGGGCATGGCAGTCCACTCCAGTATTCTTGCTCAGAGAATCCCATGGACAGAGGAGCCTGGCGGGCTACAGTCCATGGGGTTGCATAGAGTTGGACACAACTGAGGCCTTGCAGTTCTCTGCAGAAGTATCTGCACCCAGCCAGCAAATAAGGGAAGAGAGAGGAGGGATGATTTTACAGAGCATTTCCTGGGTCAGGCCTGCAGGTGGTGTCCCTGACTTCTGCACCCGTTCCATGGTCTAGAACTCAGCCACAGGCTACAGCTAACTGCAGGGGAGACCAGAAGCATTGTCAGCTGTGTGCCCAGGAGGGAAGAAAGACTCCAAGTTCACAGATCATCTCAAAGCATTCTTACTTACACATCGTAAGTGATTTGATCATAGCCTGCCCTGGGAGCCATCCCCAAATGATCTATTTCCTATGGTTGGTTGCCGTAGGTTTCTTATCTCCATTGAGGAAAAGCAGAGCTCTTTGTTGTGGTGGGTTTGTTTTGTTTTTTTCCTTTCACTGATTCTACTTCTGATGCATGTTGCTTTCCACACTCTCTAGAACTATAGCCTAGGGCCAACTGATTATCACTAAACAAGTCAACAAGCCTCTATAATCAAACTAAGGTATTATTATTACCATAGAAGTAGAAAGCACGTAATTATGTTACGGAGGAAACTTGCTCTTTCCACATCCCTGGAATTATAAACATTGTGTACAGCTGGAGCCAGGAGGTGGTTGCCATAACAACCATGGAAAAGCTAAAAATAGCCCCTTTCATACTGTATTACTTAAGGTGGAATTATGACATGTTATGGTGTTTTAGGGCAGGCAGTTCTCTTTCATATGGGAAATGTTTGCAAACTTTCTTCAACAAAGCAATATTTGTATAATGTATTTGGATCACTGGTTCTAATTATATACCTGACCCCCGTGATCCTGGATTCTTTTCTGACATGGAACTCTGTTTTGATATGTTTCTCAGTCTTTTTGAGAACCTCTTAAAGAACTGTCTGTGCCAATATTCAGTGTTATGTTTCAGCTTCAAAAAAAAAACACAAAAACTAATGACCCTCCAAGAGCAGACTTAAGTGCTCCCTGATAAGAAGTGAAAATATGAAGAACTGGGAGGTAGTCTTTTTTGCACAGCCCTCCTCTTTCTGTCATCACTCTCTGTGTCCTGTAAGCTGTCCACATTAAGACCAAACTGTGTTCCAGTGCTGCCGAGCAATATTTAAGCCTCCGTCTCTCTCCCTCCCCACCTGCAGCGTGGAGCAATGATGAGAGTCCCAAGAAGGTGGAAATCACAGACTTATTTCATGGGGGACCTGGCGCTTCCTCCATGACAGTCCTGTTTAAGAGCTGGGCACAAGAATACTACAGCTGTCTGACAGAATAGTGGGGCACAAGTGGAAGAAAAGAGGCTTGGTAATTCTTTTATCCACGTGATCGTTAAGGAGAGTTTTCTAATTGGGAATTTCACCGAACTTAGGAAATTCTAGAAAGCATAACGAAAGGAGGCTGCAAATGCAAGGAACTGAATTTCATAGGGTTGTGTTTGTTTAATGTCTGGCTTGTGGGAGGGCTAGTCATTGAAGAGAATATTTTTAGATGAAAAAGTGCTTCCTTATCAGCAGTGGTGTTTTCTCCTTTGTCTTTGCGTTATTTTAATTCTAGTAGATCCTCAGTAACTTACGCCACTGAGGCACCATCGTGTGGCTGTTAGCAAGTGAGCAGCATGATGAATTAAGAAGGTTGTATCACAGAAAATATTACTGGACTTGTTTATTTGGGTACTTGTCATAACAAACTGGAAATGTTCAGAAATATGAGCATCAGGAGTCTTCATTATGGAACTTCAGCAAATATTCTTCATGTACCTTCCAATCTTAGAATTGTTCCCCAAGTCCCTGGAAAATGAGAGATGAGCCAGGGTTTGGTTTTATGTTTGTTTCTGTGTGCAATTAAGCGCGGCCCATTTTGTCCTTCTGCTTGATGTAACAGAGTTGTCGTGAGTCTGGCTGTGCCATGGAAACTAGTTTGACGTCACCAATTCTGCTTCGATGGGGGATTAGCACTAGATAGAGTAGTTGATTTCAGAGCCTGGTCCTTTGTGTGTCTCGGTCCCAAATGTTCACCGCCATCTCTACGTGAAGAATAGATACTGTATACAGCACAGAGGCTAAGACAGCTCTGCAGAGGTGATGTTTGTGAGCCAGACAGAACTAAGCTGCATATCATTATCCTTGGGGAGGGAGAGGGGCTTGTGTGTGGGAGGGTTTTTGCAAGACAGACAAACAGGTGTGCTGCTCTGCACCTCAGTGTTTTTGTGGAAAGGGTGCTTTTTTCTCTGCTGTCATTTTGCTCCAGTGATAAATGCTGTCCACTTCGTGTTTACTTAGATCTAGTGCATTCTCTCTTTATACTTTTTAATGTATTTTTGGAATGCAAGTATTGTGTTTTGAATAAAGTATCTTCCAATTCCAACTTTTCACTTAAGTCAAACTAACTCTACCCCCTGGAAGTTTTTAAATTAGGGTAGAATATTTGAGAAACAAAAATCTCACTTGCCTCAAGGAGTAAACAACTCAAAGCACATGCTTGCATAATTGTGGCAAACCATATTTGACTATTGGTCTGTATTAATTTTGTAAGCAGGGACAAGGTTTTTTTTTTGTTGTTGTTGTTTATTTATTTTTTCCATTTATTTTTATTAGTTGGAGGCTAATTACTTTATAATATTGTAGTGGTTTTTGCCATACATTAACATGAATCAGCCATGGATTTACATGTGTTCCCCATCCTGAACCCCCCTCCCACCTCCCTCCCCATCCCATCCTTCTGGGTCATCCCAAGGAACAAGGTTTTTATTATCTTGCAATGAACTTTCCTGTATTGAAATCATTGCTTTGGTGAGTGGCATTTTAGGAATCCATTTTGGTGAGGTCAAGATTTCCTTTTTAAAAATGGTTGTTTTTTTTTTTTTAATATTTATTTATTTGGTTGCATTGGGTCTTAGTTGCAGCACATATGATCTTCGGTCTTCATGGCAGCATGTGGGATCTAGTTCCCTGGCCAGGAATTGAACCCCAGGCCCCCTGCAAATGGAGCTCAGAGTCTTAGCCACTAGACCACGGGGAAGTCCCTAAAAATGTTTTTAATAGCATTTAAACTTTAACTTTTGCAAGACTTTTAAATTGTATTTCACTTGTGAGAAAGGAGAGAAACAGAATGTAAGATTTTTGTTCGAGGGCACATGCCGCCCTTTTAGTCAAATTGAGTATTATCTAGCCCAGAATCCCACTGATTAAACCAGCAGTGATCAGCTACAGTGAAAAACATCACCTTCTACAACTACTTGAATGGCTTTTCTTCACTTGCTGTGATGAGTGAGGTTATAGCAGTTGCTGGTTATATGAGAAAATGTTAAAATAAAACACCACCTAAACTTACATGGATGCTTGGGGCTCAGGACAGGGTGCAAAGATTTGGGCCTATTCTCAGAAAGCAGATTGTATTGCAGGAGATAGCTTCTACTTGATTGGGATCTGCTTTTAGCTTAAAGGTAACACATTCTAATAAATTATAAATATATTTCACTCTCTTTATATATAGATTTATTGAGATATATTTCACATGCCCTAAAATCCACTCATTTAAAGTGTACAATTTGGTGGTTTCTAGTATATTTACAGTGTATCATCACCACAATCTAATTTCAGAACATTTTTAACACCCTAAAAACAAAGATATTTTAAACATCATAAATTAATACTGTATTAAAAGTCTCAGTAACAAAGGTGGTTTTTAAACCCTTTTAATCAAAGGAATTTCTCACAAATATAGATAAAATGAAATTACTAGATAACTAATTGCTAATTCACCTGTTTTTAATCTTAGAATAATTGGGTTCTAAGTCCTGATAGACATCCTTACTCTTAAAATTTAAAAAGAAAAGCTTTTTCTGTCTGTGTGAGAGACACAGGCAAAAACTACAAGAATGGTATGATTAATACTTTGACTAAATGTTTCGAACTTTCTTCAGAAAATTTGAGATTTTATTTCTAAGTCCAACCTGTTAATTGAGTCACCACTTAGGAAAGTGTATATTACTAATAAAGACTTCAGTTCAAAAAAAAAACAGAAGCGAAAAAACAACTCATTTTTAGTGACTCATCAAGTGGAGGGCCCAGACTTCCATTTGATGGTTGAAGTGGCATCTCGCCTAGAGGCTGGCAGATGGACTGAGTAACCTTTGGGGATTATTTCTTTTCAGATTTATGTCTAAAATAACTTAGAAGCCATTTGGTCTTGTTTCTTTTATTATTTTGCATAAGAAGGGCCTATATAGTCCTTTTAAAAAATACAAAAAAAAAAAAAGGCCTTGGGAAGTAAATTCAGGCCAAGAATAATGAGAAAGTAAGAGCTTCCCAGATAGCTCAGTTGGTAAAGAATCCTTCTGCAATTCAGGAGACCACAGTTCTATTCCTGGGTAGGGAAAATCTCCTGGAGAAGGGATAGGCTACCCACTCCAGTATTCTGGGGCTTCCCTTGTGGCTCAGCTGGTAAAGAGTCCACCCACAATGAGGGAGACCTAGGTTCGACCCCTGGGCTGGGAAGATCCCCTGGAAAAAGGAAAGGCTACCCACTCCAGTATCTGGCCTGGAGAATTCCATGGACTGTATAGTCCATGGGGTCGCAAAGGGTTGGACACGACTGAGCAACTTTCACCTTCAAGTTGAAAGAAAGGCTTCCCAGGTAGCACAGTGGTAAAGAATCCGTCTACCAACTCCAGAGATGCAAGAGACTCGGGTTTGATCCCTGGGTAGAGAAGATCCCCTGTGAAGGAAATGGCAGCCCACTCCAGTATTCTTGCCTGGAGAATCCCATGGATAGAGGAGCTTGGCAGGTAATAGTCCATGGGGTCACAGAGTCGGACACAGCTGAGCAGCTGAGCATGAAAGATGAAGGAAAGGAACCTGATCTAGAGGGCGGGAGACAGGTCGGGTCAGGTCGAAGTTGCTGAATAAGGGGACCAACTCCCCTGAGAAGAATGGATTTGAGGACCAAAAGTTGGTTGTTAATTCTGTCTAAAATTCTCAAAACCCTAATTTCACACTTTACCCAAGCCATATACAATTGCTAACAATATGATTACAGATTGAGATATATAATTATTTGAAATAGAATAACCTGGCTGTTTTTCTAACCCACCTCTCTCCTTGCCTTTCATCAGCATGTGCTATGCTTGGTATATTTACAGCATTGCTTTTCTCAAACTAATTTTTACTTATTTGTAGAACGAGTCATTCTTGATAACTTTCTGACTCTGAAATCTCATTAGTTTCTCAAAGTTATAGTAGAAATTGAACTTTGCCTTTTGGCAAAAGAATATGATTTGGTGAACTGTGGAGTAGCGTGACTTTAGAGTCAGCTCTTCATTTAGCACTTGAATGCCTACCACCTGGGAAGGTGAGAAGGCGGGGCATAACCATTCATTCATGTACGTACCTGTTACATGCTCACCACAGGCAAGAGTATTTTGAGGAAAGGTATAAGTTAAGAGCTATGATGTCGAGAAGCTGATGGGGTTTATGAGGGATAAAAATGTTGATGATCACAGAATGATTAAATGCTGCAGCACGATAGTATGTGACAATGTGCCAAATTAAAAGCATACAAGGAGTATGAGAGTGTTTTTAAGAGTGATAATTCTTGGTGCTATGGCCAAAGAAGACCTCAGAGGATAGAAATTAACTCCAGAAGACTGAAGATCGAATCTGGTCATGCCCCAGATTACTAAGACTGAGAAGTGAGCTAATTGCAAAGAAGAGCTATTTTTAGTTGATTGAGTTATGCCTCATTCACTGACCAAGCATAGCACATGCTGATGAAAGGCAAGGACAGAGGTGGGTAAGAAAAACAGCCAGGTTATTCTATATCAAATAATTTTATATATCTCAATCTGTAATTTGCAATTGTATATTTGATTTCACTCTGTTTACTTACATCTTCTCTTTTTTAGATCTAAAGGGGTAATTCTGAACATCTCCTCTGCCACTGGCCTGTACCCAGTTCCACTATTGACCATCTACTCTGCAACCAAGGTGAACAGTTTTTTAGTAAATGGTGTCAGAAGAAGAATAAAGAATAGTTTTCAGTCTGAGAAACAAGCGAGGGACTTTCTTGAAGTTCTATCTTTAGCCATTTTCAAATGGACTGAGAAGAAAAGGAAAATAGCCAACCCTACTTTCAGAAGAGCCGGAGCTGGAGATTGACTGGTATCAACTTTACAACCGAACCGAGGCACCAAGATCTCAGATCCACAGATGATTTTTTTTTTTTCCCTCACGGTTCACTGGTTTTAAAACTGGTATTTGTACTTCCAGTAGAGAGCTGGTCTGGGCCAGTTAGCTCAGCTGATCAGAACATGGTGTTAATGAGTCTGAGACTGGGGATTTGGGTCATGAATGACTCAGCATACAGCTTAAGTGCCAAGTCCGCAGAGCTGAGTAGTAGGATTACAGCTAGTCAGCACATAGGTAAACATGGTAGACACAAGATAGATGGGGAAACTGTGAATGTTTGGCAACATTATTCAAAATTCATAGATATTTACTGCCACTTCTGGAGTGAGACAAGAATTTCCAGAGCTCTCTGTGAGATTCCATAATTCTATACCACATCACCATTCACCTCTTCACACTACTACCAGGACAGGGATTTAGAATGCATCTTATACTGCCTGCAGGTTGATAGCATTGTTCTCAAATACATTGTTGAAGCATAGGATACATCTCTGAAGTAAAGGTGACCACTGAGACGCTGCTTTTAGGGGAAAATGAGCAAACTAAAATGCACAGTAAGAACTTGCATTATGCAGGGGGAAATTAAGAGCAAAATACCTGCCCTCTTCCCTTGCCTTTTGGCCCCTGGAAAAACTGAAAAGTACTGTATTTTGAAAAAGCTTGCCACCCCCCCCCCCACCCTTCAATCTACCTGCTTTCTATATCTCTGAAACATACAGTAGGTATGTTTAAAATGAACACCATGTTTCTTGAAGTGATCGGTGAACTTCTTCCAGCCTGTTCTGCTCCACAGACACAAGACTATTGATATTATTAACAGGGACTCTAGTAGAGTCATCATTGATACATTTCAAGCCTGAGGTTGAGTCCACGTTTGAAAAAATGGTATATTTTACAAATAGATTTAGAGTTGTTCTGTTGGAAGAAGATGGGTTGTCACGCTCATCTCTGCACTTCTTGGATCTTGCCATCCCAAAGGACGAAGAGAATGCTCGCTCTTTTCTTCTCTTTACTGACAACAAAATCCCCATAGAACAGACTTGAACAGAATTCATACTGTGTTTCTGTTCTAATGGCAAGTGGCGAAGAGGAATGTATCCTTTGTTATATAATAAGAGGTTTTTTCTTGGAAAGTAATTTTCTGAAAACAGAAAAGATAAGAAGAGCCTTTTCCAGCTCAGTCAGAATTTGATTTAGATATTATATTTGGTTAAAGAATTCTTAATTAAGTGGCAGATAAAGAAAACGTGAGGTTTTGAGTTTTTTTTTTTTTAAGGTCTCATCTTCATTTAAAGTGAAAAGAATGATTAGAAACTATAGTGTTAAGTGGTTAGTTGATTATTTTTGTTTCCATGGCTACAGATCAGGCCGATTGATGTAATGTGTGTGTTTTCACTCCCACCCCCTCCCAGGCTTTTGTAGATTTCTTCTCTCAATGCCTCCATGAGGAATATAAGAGCAAGGGCATCTTTGTGCAGGTGAGTAGAGTTCGGTTCAGTTAAGTATCCCTGTTTTTGTGTGGTTTCCACAGCAACAGTTGCTGTCTTGGCAACGAAAGAAAATCACATCCCTAAGTAAGTGAATGTGACGTTAACACACCGTTAAAGACATGGTTTCTTTTCCTCTATGCCCTTAAGTTTAGATTTTGAACAGTTATTCTCTAGAATTTTAAAGCAATGACCCCTAAAGTAGAACTATGCAGCATAAACAGTTGGCACATAGTAATTGTAAGTGCTTATGATTTTATTTTGAAAGAACTAGACCATCAGTATCTCTTAGCTGCCAAGTATGCAAGGAGTGCCACAGTTTATTAATGATAGGAGAGGAGAGTGCTGAATAAAGCTAACTTTTACCAAAGTGAGGATGACTGCATTTACCAGGTTGATATAGGTATGGTAGTGATTTTTTACTTTTTTTAAATTGTGGTAAAATATACACCAAAAGCACCATTTCTGTCGCTTTTAAGTATTCAGTTCAGTGCCATTAAGTACATTCACATTGTCTACAGCCGTCACTACCTTCCATCTCCAGAACTTTTTGCAGTTGTCCAAAACTGAAACTCTCTATCCTTTAAACAGTTGCCTTCCATTTACCCTCCCCCAGCCTCTGACAACCCCCATTCTCCTTCATGTCTCCAAATTTGACTACACCAGGTACTTCGTAGAAGTGGAATCCTACAGTATTTGTCTTTTTGTAACTGGCTTATTTCACGTAACATAATACCTTCAGGGTTCATCCATGTTATAGCCTGTGTGGGAATTTCCTTTTTAAGGCTTAATGTAATTCTGTTACTGGTATATCTCACATGTGTTTATCCATTCATCTGTCGATGGACATTGGGTCGCTTCCACCTTTGGCTGCTGTGTATAATGCTGCTTTGAACGTGGGTTTACACCCATCTTTTTGAGATCCTACTTTCAGTTATTTTGGATATGTACACAGATGGAATTGCTGGATCGTATGATAATTCTTTTTTGGAAGAATCACCTTCCTGTTTTCCACAGTATAATAGCTGCCCTATTTTATATTCCAACCAGCAATGCATAAGGGTTCCAGTTTCTCCACATCCTCACCAATATTTGGTATTTTCTTTTCGCTTGTTTTTAATAATAGCCATCCTTAGGAGAACTTCCCAGGTGGCACAGTGGTAAGGAATCTGCCTGCCAACGCAGGAGACACAAGAGACGTGGGTTCGGTCTCTGGGCCCGGAAGATCCTCTGGTGGAGGAAATGGCAACTTGCTCCAGTACTATTGCCTGGAGAATTCCATGGATGGAGGAGTCTGGCAGGCTATGGTCCATGGGGTCGGTGATTCAGACACGACCGAGTGACCGATCTGAGCTGATGCCTGTGCGTATGGAGTGGTATCACAGTGCGGTTTTGATTTTGGTTTGCATTTCCTTAAGGATTATTGATGTTGAGCATCTTTTCAAGTGTGTACTGGCCGTTTGTCTGTCTTCTTTGGAGAAGTATCTATTCGAGTTCTCCACCCATTTTTTCATTGGGTTGTTTGCTTTTTTATTTTTGAATTGTAGGAGTTCTAGATATATTCTGGACATTAACCCTTTATTAGATATATGATATACAAACATTTTCTCCCTGTCTGTGGGTTACCGTTTCACTCTATGGGTAGTTTCCTTTGGTGCTCAAATTTTTAAAGTTTGATGCAGTCCAGCTTATTTTTCATTGCTGTCACCTGCGCTCCTGGTGTCATGGCCAAGGAACCATTGCCAAATCAAATGTGAGGCTTTCCCCCTAGGTGTCTTAAAAAAACTTTATTGAAGTATAGTTTATTTTCCCCTTTATGTTTTCCTCTAAGAATTTTACAGTTTTAGCTCTAATATTTAGGCCTTTGATCCATTTTGACTTAATTTTTAGAGAGACCTTGGATTTTATTATGTAGCTAACAGATACAATGCTGTGAAAATACAATACAGAACATAACGAATCCAGTGAAGGGGCTTTTATGGGTATCTGTCTCATATCAGCTATCGCTCAACACAAAGAAATGGCTCACAGTATTTCCATGGTTCAGTCAGTTCAGTTCAGTCTGACTCTTTGCGACCCCGTGAATCGCAGCATGCACATCCATTTTCCATGGTTAGGCACATTTTTATCAATGTCTTGGGAGAGACTGCAATCCTTACCTCTTTCCTGCTCCTGTCCATGACCTGCGCCCACCTCTTCACACATCCAGTGTTCATTTTGGCTTTCCATTCTGTGAGCCTAGTATTTTCCTTTCTGCACCCTGAAGCCCCAGATGATCAATCACAATACAAATAGCTAATGTTAGAGGGAATACTCTTCAGGCACCACGCTAGGTACTTCATATGTCTCTATGTGTTTCACGGCATCTCCTAATGATCCTAGAGTTAGTCACTCATTCGTGTCCGACTCTGTAACTCCCTGGACTGGAGCCTGCCAGGCTCCTCTGTCCATGGGATTCTCCAGGCACGAGTATTGGAGCAAGTTGCCTTGCCCTCCCCCAGAGGGTCTTCCTCACCCAGGGATCGAACCCACCTCTTTTATGTCTCCTGCATTGCAGGAAGGTTCTTTACCACTAGCACCACCTGGGAACCCCACTGAACATTTATTGGCTCCATCTGGTCAGGCAGAAGGTGCTGGGCTGTTTAGTTTCATTTCCTCCCTTATATCTTTAGGGTAAATATTTCCTCATCTTCCAGGGTCAGTTTAGAGCCTGTTCCTCTAAATGTCTCCTCCTTCCCTATCATAGCCCTCTGGTGTTAGTCCAGTCTGCAGCCCCCCATGAATACAGGGTACCCTGGGAGGTCAGGGTTTTCAAGACTCCTGAATTTTATATGGAACTACTATACACACCCACCTTCCCCTTCTCTTGACACCAGTTATTTTAATGCTAACAGTCTAAACCTGCTACATAGAATGTGTTGTATTTTGGTAACAGGAGGTCCGTAAACCACTCGGGAGGTCAGGCCTCACGTGCCACCCTGTGTCATGCCATCTTCTCATTCTGATGAATCAATTATATTCAAGCTATTAGCTTACAATTTTTAACTAATAATTTTTAAACACTGTGGAGACCCAGTAGGAATCTTAAAGGTCCATTGGCGAGTGACCTGGAGGCAGTGTGACCAGAAGCTTCCAGGTGTTTCAGTGACAAAAGGGAGTCTTAAGCCTTGTGAGTGCAGACGAGCAATTTCTAAAATTCCGTGAACAGACAAGACTGTTCCTTCTCCCGTTTCCAGGTCTGCTTTCCCTCAAAGATATCTGCATATTCTCTGCCTGTTGATCTGTTGTGACCAGCAGCTACTTCAGAAACACATTAGCATTTGTTTCGGAAATATTTTACTTTGATAAACTTTTCTTTTCCCTAAAGATGAATTACCAGTGATGTGATTTCATTGGTCCCTGTGTTCCGTCATGGGAATTCACGCGAAGTTTAGACTTAGAGTGAACTTGGTGAAAAACCAGAAACTGCAGTGTTTGTGAGGAAAAGTAATCGTTTCTGCATGAACACATCAGAATGCTGAGGTAGAAGAGACTCTCATGTTAACTTTGACCAAAGGGATAAGAAAAAGAAAAAAAAAAAAATCCGGTCTGAATGCAGCTAGCTTACAGAGTATTGGTTTTTCTCTGTTTCTTGGGTCTTTTGGGTGAGGAGTATTCGTCAGCTGGTTTCCCTTCCACTCCTTCCCAGGCACCGTTTCCTGGGCGATCTGATTCAAAACAAGCGAGATGTGTAGCCCTCCTCCAGCGTCCTACAGTGGCTGCCCGTCAGGTTCAGGATTGGAGTCAGACCCGACGAGGCCATCGCCTCCGAGCGCCCCATCACGCCCCGTCACGCCCCATCACGCCCCCCTGAATTCCAGCCAGAGCGGACGCTGTCGTGCGTGGCCCATGCTGTGCCCTCGGCGGCGCCCTGCCTGGCTCCTCCTCTGCCAGCCCCCGTTCACACCTCCTCCCTGCCTGTGTGGCAGCGCAGCCCGTGGGCCCCGCGCCTCCGTCAGGGCTTCGGCCTCACTTCACCGGGGAAGCCCCATCTCAGCTGCTGGGCGCATGTGGTTACACCTTCCCTTTTGCTGTCTTCTTTTTCCCTTTTTTAAAAGCTGGATTTGTTGGGCTGTCCTGGGTCTCCACTGGTGTGCGGGCTGCCCTCTCGCTGCAGTGAGAGGGGCTGCTCTCTCGCCGTGCAGCATGGCTCTAGAGCATTCGGGCTCCCGTAGTTGCGGCACATGGGCTCAGTAGCCGTGGCCCTTGGGCTGTCTCCTTGCGGTGCACAGGCTTAGTTGCTCTGCAGCATGCAGGACCTTCCCGGTCTGGGGATGGAACCCGTGTCTCCTGCATTGGCGGGTGGAGTCTTTAGCCTGAGCCACCAGGGAAGCCCCTCTCTTATTTCTTATTACATATCTGTGTCTGATACTCTCTGGCCCCAAACTCCCCCATCCCCTCCCAACCAGTGTTTTCTTGGATACACTGTATCTAGTGGGCTTTTTATCATGTTTGTCTCTGTTGCTCATGGCACCTGTAGTGCGGGGCACCCCAGAGACCTGCCGTCTGCTGGCCTCGTGTAGGACCCTGGCAGTGCCTGGCTGTGTGTGGTGATGCACAGTCCTCCGTTTTAAGGCCTGAGCTGCTTCTGTTGCTCGCATAGGCCTCTGGTCTTGAATTTTCAAATTCTCTATCTAAAGGGTTTCCAGGCTAATGCTATGATGTCAAATTTCAGTTTCTTCTAATCTTTGGAAAACAAGTTTCCTTCGTGGAGATAGGACAGATTACTCTTTGGGAAGAGGGAGAGAGAATGTTTTTCAGATTCTGAATTGTTTTATATTCATTCTGTTGTCATATTTTTTTCTTTGCTTTGCTCTCCTCATCTTTCCTTCAACTCCTTCCCTATAGTTTTGTAAGAGCATTTAACATTTCCTTCATGAATTCAGATTTGCCAATAGATAAGCTTTTCCTGGAAACACAAACAGTAGCAACAACAAGTGATAAGAAACATC